CTTTATATCACTAACATTATGATAAAAATCTAGTCGAATGGTTAGTTCACAAAGCCCAAGTCATCTTAAAAATGTCTAAAAGGAACTATTCATAAACTCGATCGTGGGTGGATATCTATTGATGTTATCAAATACACAAATACAGTTGAAGTAAAACTGAAATTACCAGCAGCATTAAAAAGCTTTGGAAGGAAGCTGCAGTTCAAAGTTGACAGATTACTGTTTGAACAAAATGTAGTCACTAATGACCAGCTCGTGAGGAAATTCTCGGAATCCTAGTGAGAAGCCGCGACCAGCGGGATTCAGCCCTGTCAGGGTAGGCAGTTACTACCAAGGACATTGATTAAGGTTGCGCTATATCGATGACTGGCTGAAGTCAGACATTAACACCGTCGACTACTGGCTCAGTAGTCTGGAGAAAAAGCGTTCGCGTGCGAGGGTCGTGGATGAGCATTGTGGAAGGGTTGCATACTGGGACGGAAGGGCCGATCGATGCTTGCAGGTTTCTAATGGTGGTTTAACAATGAACAACTGGTAATTTCAATGAAACTTAATACGCTCCAAAACTCTATAATGAAAAACGCTTTTTCTTGTTGCAGTCTTTGAGTAGTAGGATCATAAAGCTACATAAGTCATCTTGAAAAGCTATCCATTTAGATCTCTTTGAGTTTTATTGCAATTATTCTAACATTCTGGAAAGTACGATGAGTTAAAACATTTTACGAAAAGGAACTAACTGATCTATTTTGGATATAGAAACAGTCGATTCAATATAAATAGACGTCCTAATCTTCACCTATTTCAATAGTTGAACCTCACAAATGTTAAATTGATATGAGATATTACAGTCGCCAAAAAACATTAAATTACAATCACTTTGCTTCCAAATGAAATCAATCAACTTTGATTAACTAGCTACCTATCCCATATACCATATTATCTATCATGAAGTAAAAGACACACACATGAGTTTGTTTATTTCATGACTGATGATTTTTTTTTCTCCAAAAAAAATATAAAAAGCAATAAAAATGAAAATTATACAAAAAATAATAGATGACAAAGACACAGAAACAAACAGACACGGCGAGGAGGACGCCAAGACAATGAAGAAAAGCAATTATAGACACTCTGTGATCTGTGGTGATAAATAAGTTCAAACGGAAAATGGGAAAATGTCAAAGTAAAATGTAATCAATCAAGCACAATGACAGTAACACAATCATAATAATAATAATAATAACAATAGCAATATATGAATTAAAGCAATGGAGAAGAAAACGAGAAAAACAATGTGATGAAAAGAAAAAAACATAGCGAGATAAAAAAAAATAAGTGAGAAAAAAGATGACTGAGACTTTGCTTTATGCATGTATGCGTGTGTGTCTAGTGTAATGTAGTGTAGTGTACTATGCTTAAAAGCACATAAACAGAATATCAGGGTAAACAATCAAATGATATACACAAATGAATTCAGTGAATTAACATTCTTTATACATGTAATATGGAACGCAAATCTATACAGATTCTATAGTAAGACAATGATACATGCGGCTATGATAAAAAAAAATAATAATCGGTTTTTTGTTCACTAATTGAATGAATTACATTTTTCTCTCAATGCGCGCGCACGCGCACAAGAAATAATGAAAATTCAATTTAGCCAAGAAACAATGAAGTAATAAAAAGATAAAGACATTTTAAACAACTCAGTGAGTGCGTACATATAATTTGTGACAGATAATCATCATCAAAGGCATGATTAAGGAATGATTTATTCCTAATTAAATCGCTGTAAATAGAGATATTCTTGAAATTTTAAGATAATCCTATATATATATTTCTATGACAATAACAGGAAAAAAAGCACGAATACTACTACTATGTGACGATTCACTGTTTCCTTTCGTCAATTCCTTCCTACTCATAGTCCATTGTACATCCATCCATCCAGAGATCAGACAGAACCGAATCATGAAAACAATTAGACAACATAAAGAGTAGAAAAGAAAAAAGAAACAATCACAATTTTTTGTCCATCATTATTTTTGTGATTAAATAATTCAAAAGAAAATTTTCATTGTAGAACAAATTTCTCTTCTTTTTTTTCTTTTCATTGAAAAACATTCTTTTTACTTCATCACATTTTACATTAACACGAGAACAGAGAGAGAGACAGAGAAAAAAAAGAAAGTGTGTAGTAAATCAATTTTGTCAAAAATAAAAATATAAATTTATGGCGCCAAAAAAAACACGTTTTATGTTTCTTGATGAGTTGATTGAATAAAAAAAAATTTATATATGGAAATATTGATTAGGGGAAAAACCATGAAGAAAGACTGAATATTTGTTAAATTCAGTTTAAAAAAAGTAACTATAAAGATTAAAAAGATTCAAAGTGAAATCGTCTACAAAGAAAAAAAGATGTTTTGAAAAATAAAAATAAAAAACTTATGATGCATAAAGAAAGTAGTTTTTGTATAAATTTTACATTGTTAGTTCATGATGATACAAGGGAAAGAGATAATAACAGGACAATGAAAAAGTGATCAATAGGTGTGCATATAAGTGTAAAATAAACACACGATAAGGACAATAGCTATTGATTGGATACAAGAGACAAGCACTACTCGATGAAAAGCTAGAATATCACTGAACTAACACACACAAGTGCTATCTTAATAGACAACCGATTATTATTGTTCATTTACACAAGCTAATGAACAAAAGAGTAAAGCGAAACATGAATATAACAAAAACCACAACAACAACAACAACACCGAAAATACCAACCACACGATAGATCGTGAATTTTATTCAACAAGTGTAGGAAAACATTGGTCGAAACGAAAAGAGAAAAGAAGAATAGTCCAGAAAAAAAAACAAGAATCGGTTCATAGATAATCTGGATAGAACAACATACAATGTTTCAACTGAATACATAAATTACTACTGACTAATCTGAGAGAAAAAAAAGGTAAGGAAAATTTCTACAGAATTTTTTTTCAATCCACCGTGATCATTGTTTATCTTGATAATAAAATAATAGTGTCATTGTAAATAAATTAATTAATTAAATCGTTACACAAAGGCACATATATATGATGCATACAAACATTATGTGTGAACATGATGTTGTTATCAGATTCGACTAGATTTAATAAATAATCATTGTTATCAAACAGCAAATAGACAGTGTAATTGAAGAAGGAAAAATGCTACCACATCTCTCTATAGCAGGAGTGTAATGGAAGTCATCTAATCCATTTGTTTCGGATGAGATGAGGCGCTACAATTGTGCCTACCATGTAATACTTCTAATCGATAATAATAATAATAATAATAATAATAATAATAATAATAATAATAATAATAATAATGGTAAATGAAATCAATGATCAATCCATTATTCCATTGCAAACACACTGTTGCCCGGTGTGTGTGTGTGTATGTATGCATTTGCAAATGACATAAAATGAAATAAAAATGAGAGAAAGAGCGAATACAGGTAAAGACACACACACACAAAAAAAAAGAAGACATGCACAAATAAGAAACTAAAAGTACAACGGCTACAGGTAGTGTACATACTACTAATAATTACACAGATTTTGACACAAACTAACCTCAATTTAAGCACCAATGGAATAAATAAATACAGAAGAATAGAAAAGTGAAAGATTAACGCATTGAAATGATAGTTTTCAAAAGGGGGGGGCGGCGGGAAGGTGATGGTTTTCTTAACAATCAATTCGTTTAATTTTTTCTCATACATATACAAATAGAAAATAAGAACAATTGAATACATGAAATAATGAATAATAAATCTATGCATTTTCAATGAATTTTCGCATTTTATTTGTTCCACCATTTATTCCATAGGGACATCATCAAATTGAAATTCATCAATATCTAATCCAAGGATTGGTGGTGTAGATAAATCTAATGTTTTTGTCGATGATTTTCCAGTGTGATTAATGAAAGAACATTGTTGATGTTGATGTTGTTGTTGCTGATGTTGCTGTTGTTGTGGTTGTTGCGATTGCTTGTGAAGTTGATGTTGTGAATTATACTGATCATGAGGATAATGTTGAGGATGTTGATGTTGATGATGATGCTGATGATGATGAGAAAGAGGAGGTTGATCTTGATAAGGTTGATGTTGTAATTGGTGTTGTTGTTGTTGTTGCTGTTGTTGTTGATAATGTTGACTGGATGATTGCATAACCGATGCAATTAATGGATCAAAATGTGTAACCGGTTCTAAAATGGTATTCATTGTATTGCCATGACATAAATCTAAACTTAATGAATGAATTGATGAATTATGATTTGAATCTGTTTCACAAATTGGTTCTGATTTTAAATGAGGAATAAATGGACTAGTTGATGAATCGAATGAATACAATTGGGCAATCTATATAGAAAGTTTTAAAAAAAGATAAAATTACACAATAAACTAATAATGATAGTAACAATAATGATCATAATAAATTAGAGTTATCGAGATTAGTGTTTGTTGCACATTGAAATCATCAATCAATCATTGTTAGACTACCACCATTAGAAACCTGGAAGCACTACTGAACGGCCATTTCGTCTTGGTATGAGACTCGCCTGCAGTGCGCATCCATGACTCCTGCACCGCGCAAGTTTCGAACCCAGGACATTCGGTCTTGCACGCAAACGCCTAACCTCTGGACTACTATACAGGCATCTAACAATCTTGAAGTCTAACTCTGATCAATCTTTTATGCATAGAAAATAAGTTATTGTCTGATGAATAAAAAACATAATAACTAACGTTTTACATCCAAAAAAATATACATAATATAGTAGTTTTAGCAGTGAAATTGAAAAAGTAGGTTTCATTATTTTTGACACTTATCAGTTAGATGTTGTATTGTATTCCAATGCTGATGTTCACATTGACACTGGAATACAGTGTGCATTTGGCTTCAAACACCTAATGCATTAACCGTTAATCTATTTACTTAATTATTATTTTAAATTATCTCATTGTTGTTAAGCCAAAGGAGCTTGATCAAAATTTAGTGCAGATTATTACACTACTGCATTCTAATATGTGACGTTTAAAGAATCCTCTCCTACTAACTGTAGGGGAAGTTAGATCCTCAGAACTCACTTAGAAAAAGTTCTAATTTTGCAATTTTTGTTTTCGCGCCTAGTTAACCTTGAGATTACATTTCCCACTTGGAAAATCACTGACTGTCATTGGTTGATAGATTATTTTAGTACGCTATTTTTGTGGCTCCCCAAGGAAGTTTCTATCATGTATTAATAGGCTCGATTTACGTGCTTATTAACCTCGTATTTTCTGTGTGCTTGCAGAATACACTTTCTACGCCATATCAAGACTTCTTGATATAATTAGCCGGGCCAGGGACTACGGAATAGAACAGCCTATCGTGTCATTGAGTCATTGCTGTCGTCTTGTTTACCGAGTAAGGTAAACGCGTAATAGTTTCAAGTATATCATTTGACGAACATATCACAAACCACTTAACTGTAATGGTTTGCTTGAATTATAAATAAAATTGAAAAAGCATTTGTCTTAGCGATTTGAAAATATGAAGATTTAGAAAAATCACAATTGTTTGTAAATGAATTTTTTCTAGAAAAAATCTTGTCTTTAAAGTTAACTAACGTTCTTTATGTCTATAACATACTTCGATGTAAACCAATGATATCTAGACCGATTCAGTATTTGTCATTAATGTAGTAATTATGGAATAATAACAACATAACGACTAATAATTACTTGTTAATTGCTTTGTGCATAACTGAAATTACTATTTAAATTACAATAGAATACATTCTCATATGCATGTCCAATCATTTGCTTGTATTCGTATGTCAGTCCATTTATCCATTGAATTGGACAAACCTGGGAATTATTATTATTATTATTATTACTCATTATATTATATTATTGGTTATTTATCTTTTAAACTATTTACACATTCTAACAGTGAAATAATCCCACTTTGAAAATATTTCCCATGTTATGATTAACGTTCGCTTAAAATAGTAAATAAGAATATACTTAAATAAAACAATATTGATACTGCACAACAGTTTATGTATTAAAGCTTAAACAAATTAAAGTATTATATCAGGAGGGACAAAAAATAATATGAAAATAGGCATGATTTGTTTTATGACAAAATTTATTACTATCTGTGAACAACATACATAGTTTTTATAGTTTGTTATTAGAGGACATTGAATAAATTTGTTATTCTATGATTTTTTTTAAATTAAATGACGGTTTCATTAACAACTAAGCATGAAATTTATGATTGAGTGTGTTTAAAGAATAAATATGTGTCATTCTGATTGAATCATATCGGAAAAAATGTTTGGTAATATTTAAGACCAGGAAGTATGAATTCTTGAGTAACCAGTGTATTTACCGAAAATTTGGGTTTATGATATTTTTATTATTTTCCTAAGTGTATAATTCCCACTTGACTTACTCTAACTATTCTCATATTTCAGTCCGTTCAAAAATAGCTATTGATTGTTTATGAGCATGTTACATAGATTTGCAATGTGAATTTACATATTGTAATTCTTAGTTTTTTTTTTGATCATGGGCTTGCAATCACATGGTTCATATCTAGGCGTCATAGCGTTCCTTAATGTAATTTGGGTGAATATATGTGTATATATTAGATCATCACGTGGGACACCAATGATTTCGGCATAAACAGAGTAGATAGTGTACGGGGAACAAATAATCAGTGCAACTATATTAGGGTACAGATATATGGTCCGAAGACAAAGAACATGTGTACAGTCTGTCTCTATTTTGACATTTTAAAGTTTAACGTAATAGTTTTTGGGTGTGATTGAATGTAGTGTTGGAGTTGGATCGTTAGTTAATTACAACGTAGAACTTTGTACGTACTTACAGGTTGCCACACCTGCAGTGGTTCCTAAAGGGATTAACTACAAAAGATTAGTGCACTTTAAGGGATACATATTACTGATATGAAGTTATAGGATTGACTGACACGGATTGAAATGAAAACATTTAAAGTAGGAAGGAAACCAAAACGAAACTTATAATAGAGTGGTTTAAAATTAGTTACAATATAATTACCCTCCGTAGGTACATATAGATTTATACTTTATTTCCGAAGTATTACAGGTCTTAATTTTTGCTCATATGAAATTAATTGTCTACATACACCTTGATGAGAATGATCCGCTGACTTGAAGTCTAAGGTTAATTGAGATATTTTTAATATTAAATATTGTGTGTTGTAACCAACACACTCAGTTATATTTTCTATTTATTCAGTGAATGCTGCACAATATGAGTATAAGTTTTCATTCCAAGTGTCAGCAGCTAGTCACAACTATCTGTTATAAACATTTCAGTGTAACGTGCAAGCTCGATATACACGATAAAGAACACAATTATGGTAAAAGTTGGGAGCTGGAAATGAAAAGTTTGCTGAAAATGACAGCGTATTATGCATGCACTATTCATTCACTGAATGAACGGGAAACTGATCAAAAGTGTATAAGAGTATAAGATATTTTTTATTGACGATCTTAGAAATATCGCAGATAAACTAAACTCATTTTTAACTGGTTCACTGTTTTGTAGTAAAAGATAGTTCTTTTTATTTGATATATAACTTTGAATATAGGTACAAAAGAATTGCATTCACATACAATCATATACATGTATGTAGACAAACATGAAACGTACACAATGTTTGAGTGTAAAAGAATAAATCTACAATTACACTGACTTAAATATCACAATTGAACTGTTTAGATCAATCCAACACAACATATTTACACGCAGTGTACTTCATTTCGGTATTTTTAACAAAAAAACTATATTTGATAATCACAAACAAACGCACACACACACAAAGATTATGTGTGTGTGAAGGAGGGAATGACCCAACAATAACGACGAAAAATACCTTTGTCCTATACTTTGAAATTATGAAAAAAAAATTGTGACGTCAATGCAAGGCGTTCGTTTACATTTAGAAACGAAGCTACAGAATCAATAAAGCCATATCTATATATATACACAATATAATAATAAACGATAATAATAACTGACGTCAAACATAAAGTGAGTTTTGTTTTTAGCAGATAAAATAGTGTAAGTTCTTTTTAGATCCAATTTTTTTAATGAACAAGAAGTACACAAATTAAAGTGTTGTGCCCACTGACGATCAGTGATTTGCACAAGAAATATGAAAGTCGCGTAATTACAGTGTATTATTAAACAATGATAATAAAAGATAATAATAATAACACTGGTTAGTACATTACTGACTTCGACTGATACATACACACTGTTATTTAGTTAACTTGAATAAAATCAAGTGAAAACAAAGTGATTTTAGCAAGTAAATTTTGGAAAATTGATTTGATGATATAAGATATAGTAACTTCTAGAGTAAATTTATACCTAATAATTTAAATATGTATACTTAGTTTTCCATTTGCTAAGAGCTTCCATAGAATCGCTTTAAATATGATTATTTCTTTGTCAGCTGATTCGCTTACAGCTACTTTCGACTCAGTTGTGTATAATTGTGATTTTTAGTGGAATTCACGATGATTCACTCAGTCTATTCCAACTCCTTTGTTCGAATGTAACAGGATGGTTGCAACTCATTGGCTTGCGACATTATCAACATGTAAACCAATGGCGAAATTGTTCTAATTTTTTCTTACATTAAAAAGGTGACAGATGAAAAAAAGAATTTTAGATCAAGTAGATGATTTTGGTGAAATAATGTTCACTGAGCTGGATGGTTCAAATGTTCGAATACTTCAATGCATAAAGTTCTTGCTGATGATGTTGTTCAGAAGAACAAGATCAAACTATCCAACTCAAACGAAACTTCACCAAAAAGTACCTTTTTCTTGTTTAAAGCAATGAGATCCTTTTATAAATTTTGATAGAACAATAAGGAGACATAAATGATCTGAAAAATGTGATTTATTTGCGCTATACACTTTGAACAATCTGTCTTAGGGTAGTGTGACAATTTCGTATCCTTTCCTATTCTTTATAATCATTGTTAACCAACAAGCCTGTTGCACATGCACGCCGCTGCTTTTTAGGCAACACAAGAATTCTCACAAAAGCCAATTTTGCGATCACTTCTGCCCCATACAGTAACGCCCATGTTGTCTAGTTTGGTCAGCAGACAAGTGGACGTCTAAAAAGCACGCACTCTATGTGAAATTTTTGTCTCCTTTATTGACAATTATCACTTTGAGTTTATTTGAACTCTTATTTAATTGAACTTTTATTAATTTTCATATAAAATGCCTTGACAAGCGTATGAGTGATCAGATTGTTCGAAATGTATAGCGCTAATACATCACATTTTTTCAGATCAACTA